TGCACGTGTTGCCATCTCAACTCCACCACACATCTGACTTAGATAAGATATGCTTTCCTTTTAAATTCACTCTAGAGGTAGTCCGGGTTTGAGACTCAAACTGAGACTAAAGGTACCTTTAGTCTGGGTTCATGTCTAAAATAGGGACTAAAAGTCACACTTTTAATCCGGGTTTGTGTCTCAAACCGGGACTAAAGCTTTCCTACACTGACATGCCTTGGTTTTCGTTACAACCGGGACTAAAGGGTGGAATTGGTCCCAGTTTGTATTACAAACCGAGACTAAAAGTCTCAATCCTCCCTTTAGTCATGGTTGTAATTTTATACCGAGACTAAATACTTTTTGTCCATGGATGAAAGGTTGTTTCTCTACTAGTGATAGGGGAGGGGAACGGAGGCCATAAGAAAGAAGTGTGGGTGAGCAGCTAGGTTTGGAGGTGTAATGGACTAGGGTTTGGGGGCATCTGCTTACCCGGCGGTTATTGACAAATGGACCCCACCTTGACCATGTGAAAAAAGGGACCTACCATCGATCACGCATAGTAATCAAGATTAATCACTCACAAGTAACATGTTGATATACAGTTTCTTACAGAAAACATGTGCATGCATCTGAGTTTTGGGGAAATTGTATCATTGATGGCTCCTTCACATTAAAACGCATTGCCTCTTAATAGAATCATTTCTGTCACATACTACTGGTAGACGGTAGTAGTTGCTTTGAATTCTCCATTTGAGAATGACTAGGAGGCCAAGTAGATTTAGAATTAGCTACATTAGAAATAATAATAGTTGTAGCATCACATTCTTCACGAAGCGCATCGGGATTTACAAAACTGTCGCTAACTTCTCCACCCTCACATGCTAGAATCCAAGAATGGAAATATGTACTCTTTTGGCACTCCATCTACTGTCCCTATTGTTGTTTTTTCCTTTCCAAGAATGAATAGGCATATCCATTCGTCAATAAGGTACAAAAGGATAGAATCACCCTTTTACAGCATTTTTTTGAGACAAACCCTTTTACAAAATATAAGCTATTCAACATGTAAAAGACCAAATCAGAGAATGAATAGGCATATCCATTAGTCGATCTGCTGGCCTTGTTGTTTACTTATTTCTTTAAACATAACCTAATTGGAATTTTGAATAGTTGATGATTACAATACGTGAAAAACATATGGATGTTGCTTTTTAAGCAATATCCAAAGAAATATTCATGACCAACATGGTGACATTATCCACATCCTATTCGTCTCTTATTCGATACACATTTATTTGTATTGGTAATTGAGACAATTCAAATATACATCTGTATTCGACATTATCCCAGTGAAAATGTGAAAAATAAGTATGAGATCGGTAATATCTGTAACACTCCTTGTTTTTGTGTAATGTGAAAAAAAAACATGGAGTTTTTCTAAAAAAAAATGTCTAATTATGTGTTGCATGTAATATTAGCACAAAGCCTTTGTCACCCTTTCCCTGTTCCCTCTATTCCCAAGTCCCAATTTAGAGTTCTCGAATTAAAACTCTGCATAACATGTCTTTGACCAAGCCAGGTATTAAAAATCAAAACAAATTTCCTTTTCCCAAAAATAAAATAGGGTTGAATTTGTCACTAGAATTCAAGCTAGCCTATTTACATATATTTCCTAAAGAGGTATGTTTTCCAACAATTTTTAATAAAAACTATTTTCCTAAGCTAATTCATGCATTCGCATAGAGCTAATTAAGGGCATATTTGGAATGCAGGAATTTCACAGGAAAGGTACATGAATTTTATGTCAATCGGCTTAATTTCACATGGAAAACGCAGGAACTGGAAAAAAAATCATCCGTTCCAAACAGGGCCTAATGGGCGTGTGTTTGCTCCGGTTTCATTTGGAGTTAACCTCTCTTTGGAAAATAGTCAAAACCCTTTTTAGTATAAAAAGGAAAAGCTTTGCATAAAGCCTTTTCGCCAGCAGGCCTAATCCGGCATATGAAACTCTTCCACTGGCCCAGCTGCCTTGGTTTTCTGCTCATTCTTTCTCAGCCCAGCCCAGCCCAGCCCAGCATCTTCTCCTCTCTCTTTCTCTCTCCTCTCCACTTCGAGCCCAACACGCTAGCCAGCCACTTGGCACTTATTTCCGTTATTTTGATTTTGTAGATTCTCGTGGAGGAAGACTCTATGTTATATTAATCAAGTACATCGATAGTACTCAAAGACTCGTACTACCTCCTTGATATCACACGTGTCGTGGCAACACTATCTTTAGAAACATATTTAGGCATTACAAAGTAGTTATGTTAGTGTTGTACTTACTATTCTTTTGCTAGATATAGTGATGCATGCCTTGACTGAGAACCCTTTACCTTGATTATTACCTAGCTTTGAGCTTCACAGATAGAGCTGCTTTTTTTAGTTTTTATCAAAAAGCATCTCTACCTGTGAAGCTGAATCTATTTTTTGAACCGTTTAGCAAATTAGCTTAACATGGTGGACAAAAGGTGTGAAATGACCATAGCACCCTTCTTTTTTTCTCTCCCAAGCCTAATCTGGCCACCCACTCTGCCACCGGCCACTGCGCAACAACACTTCTCTTTCCTCTCCCCAACAGCAGTCTTCCATATATAGACAACCGCTGCAGCCCGCGCGCAGCGCCACTTGCTCACGCCACCGCTCGGCCTACCCCGAGTTGAGCCCCGGTGGTTGCGCTCTCACTGGCGGCCTCACTCGAGCTGAGCCCCAGCGGCCACATACTCATCAGCGGACTCGCCCTCACTGGCCGCCCGTGCGCTTCGGCTTGCCCCAGCGCCCACACGCCTCCACATACTCATCAGCGGACTCGCCCTCACTGGCCGCCCGTGCGCTTCGGCTCCGCGCTGACGCCCGGCGAGTCAACTCCACTCTAGATTCCCATGTCTGCGCGTCTCTGGTGCCATCGCCCCTCCCCCATGCAAGCCGGGGGGAGGGGGGGGGCAAATCTACCAAGGTCGCGACAAGACCCCAGAACGGGATGAAGCTGGTTGAAGCTAGTTTTTTTCAGCTTCACCCCCCACTTTAGGCTTGTGAGAGCGCATTTTCGGAGGATTGCAAGGAGGAGCTGTTTCCAGGAACCCGTTTGGTAAAGAAGTTGCAAAACAGTTTTGTGAAGCTTGCTAAAAAGCTCTACCAAATAGGCCCTTATGCTTGCCTGTCTACTTACTTGCATGCAACTATCACCTTACTTTATATATGTATTTGTTGATATATAGTGATCTTGTGAGAGGCGAGTCTCGTGCTCGATGTGTGGAAGGCGCTTGATCTGGCCACTAAGGACCATCGTTAGGTTGCAACCATAAACACGAGACTTTGACTCATGTATAGCAAAAAGGACTAAAATGCCCTTCCTAGAATAGGAATATTCTAGGAACCTTTTGGGTTGTTACAAAGGCATTTTGGTCCGCCAACTATGAAAAAGAGAACTATACCCTATGAATAAAGAGGGCAAAGCATTACTGTCTACACCATCCACTCTCACTGTTATGCCTTCGCTCCCTTGTTTCACTATCTGAATTCAGCAACCAACATTCCAACACTTTAATCGCAGACAACATTCACCATTATTGTTCATGCCATTGTAGTAGCGAGAGTGCAGTCTATACAACTTAAAAAACATTGCTTTTAACAACATACAAAATGCAAATTTTGAATAAATGGTCCAAAAATCATATGAGTTTAAATTTAAATTGTTGATAAAAATTTTCATAAACGAATAATATAAAAAATTGAGCATCAAATATCTAGATTCATTAACCCATAAGAGTCACCATAACTTAATTAAGTTAATGTGACAAATGCATAAATACATGGAGGTGCTATGCACAAGGAGGAAACTATATGGATATGGATGAAATAACATCTAGAGTGACTCATATGTTTTATCACCACTGGAAAGAGATTAGAAAGCATCTATATGGAAATTACTCTATAAATTAAATACTTATAGACTAATTGCTGGTCAGAGTCTTTCCTTAAAATGGAAACACGGCTTGTTAAAGAACTAAGCGAGTTGCTTAGGTTGGTGGGCTGCAAGCAAAATTAGGGCATGTTTGGAACGCAGGAATTTCGTAGGAATTGCGCAGGAATTTCACAGGAATCAGTTCAATTTCACAGGAAAAACGCAGGAACAGGAAATATTTCCCGCGTTCCAAACATGCCCTTAAGGATTGGGAGCTTTCAGCTTTGCAAGTAGCTGACATTGCGTCCGCAATGGTGCTAACTACGTAGCTAGCTTACGTGGAGGTGAGAGACAAAGCAAAGACTATTTTATACATTCTTATTTTTCTATGTACTATTAGACTTACATATTTCTCTCTCAGATTATTGGACTACGTGAAATATATCAGCTATTTGTTCGTCGCTAGTGACTACTCTCTCTTCTACTTTGTTCATGTTCACATCGGAATAGCTAGCCTAATAGCTAGCTATTGGGACGCCCTTAGTATTGAAAACGTGCATCCCCTGCTTTTTTTCATGTCTTTGCTTTGTCCTTTCCCTGGTAGATCACAAGTTCAGCACATGCCACATGCTGAGGTTCATCCAATGGGCACTTCGGTGTAGTAGTAGTGGATGGAGACATTACGTTATATTGCTTTGCATTTCAGTCAACTGAGTTGTAGAATCTTATTTCCATTTCAATTAGGCTGCCATTACACTTAATTGAGAATTACATATACATTTTAAAGTAAAAACCCAAACCATTAACCATGCATATCACTACTTACTTAGGCTACGTACTTTAACCACCATTGACATTTGACAGCACTGGAAGTAATTAACCTGTTTCAGGACCCACCATATATATCCTCCCTTGCTCCCATATGACTGTATATATGTATGCATCACTTGGACTAGCATGCATTGCATGCGCATGCACCTGCACGTACGTTTCAGATCGAGTCGTCGATCGTTCACTCCTGCAGCTAGCTATGTGTCATGTCGTCGTCCAGACTCCAGAGGCATGCAGTCCTTATTTAGGAGACCTTGAAGGGCTTGTAGCCCTTGAGGTCCTTGACGAGCCCCTGGACGGAGCCAGCGGCGGCGAGCAGCGAGACGAAGAGGCAGGCGTAGCTGAGCACGTTCATCCACGTCCACGCCGGCGAGAATCGGCGCGTCTTGGCCTGCGCCATGTACATCTGGATGGGGAAGTAGACGGTGAGCGGCCAGAAGGAGACGGCGCCGATGAGCCCGAGGAAGTCGTTGAAGAAGGGGAACACCATGGCGACGAGCGCGGTGACAACGACGTAGGCGGTGCGCCACACGAGGCGGAACGGGCTGACCGAGAACCGGCCGCCGGCGACGGTGTGCTCGGCGTTGAGGAAGGCGGCGTCGGGCCAGCGGGACCGCGCCCAGGCCTCGACGAACTGGTAGATGGGCTGGCAGAAGACCTGGTAGGCGCCGATGAGGTGCACGGCGATGCAGACGTTGCCGACGTCGATGAGCCAGAACGGGTCGTAGAAGCCGAACCCCGTGAGGAAGTTCCCCGGCGCGTCGTTGCCGAACGCCGCGTAGCCGAGGACGCCGCACAGCATGTAGAACGTGGTGGTCGTGGACACGCCGATGAAGGACGCCTTCTTCATCACCACGTTCTCCGGCGGGCTCGACCGCAGCGTGTCCTGCGGTGTGCGGGCAGGGCAGGGCAGGCATGCGCGTTAGTTCATCAAAGTCATGCGTGCATGCATGGTAAAGTAAAAATGAAGCTGTAAATTGCACAAGGTAAATAGTACTACTGCGTTGACCTATGACGACCTAGGAGTCAGAGAAGTCTGCCAGCTGATGCGTTGAGATTAGTGCATGGCTACTGCATTTGAGCCGGACTACTGACTGATGCAATGCAATGATGCACCAACCATGTCATCCTAGATTAGATGTACTGACTGCCATTTGAGTAGGATATAGGATTTACATTTTTGAACAAGAGTAGGATAAGTTTTACTTGATGGAGTAATGCTCAGCCATGTGCACCATGACCAATTGACCATATTGATTATGTGTAGGACAAGGAAACTTTGGACTTTTGGTGGCTGAAAGTGAAAGACAACGGAGCCCTTATTACTCTGCTACATGGAAGGATTCAGATTTGGCTCGTCTCTTTGTGCACATGCAGACTTCCGGAGCCTGTCTATGCACTAGCCTGCACTGGGCTCAATGCAGGGCACTAGGGCAGCGACCCTCGTGTTGACTACTGCACCATTTTGGTCTAGAAAAGAAACATTTTTATAAGCTTGTGTGATGTATGATTGGACTCCTGAGTTTGTTCCCTTGTGCCTGCCATGCATGCTCATCTGCATCACTGCAAGTATACAAGAGTTTTGTCCCTTCCTATACAGACCAAAAAGATCACGGGCATGGGCGCATGGGCTCATCCGTTCATGCTAGTAGCTAGTACTAGCTTCTTCAGATGAGAGCTGTTCTTTTTTTAAAAAGACGCAGGTGAAGTGTCCTTAGTGACTAATACGTGGTGCTAACTACAAGGTATGTAGCAGGGTTATACACAGATGTATCTGAATTTCTTCACGGTTGTACCTGGATTTCTATGAGGACGTTGGAGTAGGAGTAGGCGAAGGCGATGTCTCCCAGGGACTGAAACGTCTTCCATATCTTCTCGCTCGCGGTGACGTCAACCCCCACGGCGGCACCCGTCAGCGACGTCTTCACGTGCACCCCACCTGCAATTAATCATCAGGGGCCATCAGTAAACATGTACAGAGAGATGCACTGCAGTCTGCAGTGCACTGCATCGCATCGAACGGGCGACATGCATGCATGATATGATCGATCATCGATGCATGCAAACAAAAGGCTAGCTAGGCCATCGTCAACATGTCCAGTGTCCTCATTTGTGCATGCATGTCACTTGTCATGCAAATTGCAAGCCAAACCAAAAAGGATGCTGAGTGATGTACATGCCCCACCAAGAACATAATTGCATGCTTTGTTGGTATATATACAAATCTTGGCATGCATCATGCATGCAGGTGGATAAAGCTGATGATAACCAATGCATGGCTGGTATGAGCTAGTAGCTAGCTGAGAGATCACTCATGATCAGTGACTGACAGATCAGTAAGAAGAACAAATAGCTCAAGAACTTGCCTGCGATCTTTGCGATGGAGAGTCCGAGTCCGATGGAGGAGTAGGCGAGGGACATGACGGCGGCGACGATGGAGAGCCACCAGAGCTTGTGGAAGTTGGGGAGCTGCGACAGCAGGATCTGGATGCCCGCGAAGATGATCATGTTGGTGGTGTTGGACGCCTCGCAGTCGGCGCCGTGCCCCTTGCTGTGGAAGCAGTTGGAACGCTTGATCGCCCTGCACCACCATGCCATGCCAGCAGGTTACGGTACACATCCATAGATAGATGCAACAATCACTTAAATGGTCTAGCTGCTCTGTCATTTGCTTGGTGCTGTTTCTACTGTCTAAGGGAAAAAGATTATTGCTCCTTTTTGTAAATCTAAATAAACACAAGAAAAAAATAAAGAAACAAAGAAAGAAAAAGGAAATACGATTCTTCTTGCAGGCATGCCAATACAGGCCACTCCTTTTTCACACCCTCTTTTCCAACGGATGGATGGATGGAAAAGGGAAGCAGCAGTGGCGCCCTTCAGTATCTGATTTGTCTTTCCAAGAAAGCACTTTTTCAAGTGCCAAATAATGTTATCTTGGGCATCACTTTAAATTTTCTTTTCCCTGCCCTCTGGAACCTTAAAAGACAACCACCCTTATTTGATGACAACTACAGATGATGCGTGAATTAATCATCAGGACTACTCCTCCCCCGCATCAGCTCCTCTCTTTTCCTACCTACTCTGATTAAAAACATTTTGTTACCTCCAATAATAACCCTTTCAAAGGATGAAAACAACAAAAAAGAACTTTTAATTTCCTCAGAAAAAGATGGAATGATTAATTGGAAACATGCATACGGAACGAACTTGGACTCATCAATCATCACAGGAGCACCACTTACGTATAGAAAAAAAGACAAGTTAAACGCTGCCGGTTTGACTGAAGTTTATTTATTATATATATATATATATATATATATATATATATATATATATATATATATATATATATATATATATATATATATATATATATATATCACATATGGTCATTCAGTTTTCCGACCAACTACCAAGGGCAGAACAGTGGTGGTGGTTTTAGACATCAGACATGCATGGAATGGAAGAAGAAGAAGAAGCAGAGCATGAGACAGGGGAGGGCGGGGGAATGCATGCAGTAGTACCCCATGCTGATGGCAGTGGTGATCGTGTAGCCTATGGTGACGCCCACCAGGTTGATGTACTGCGCCAGTGAGCACAACCGGTACTTGGACACCCCTGGATGGTGGAACATTCAAAACAAAGGAAATCAATATTCAAGATGGACAACATTCGAATCCATCCATGCATCCATTTGAATTTGAATTTGAGTGTTGGTAAGGAGGGACACAACATAGACATACCCAGGTATGCCCTGACTGCCTGGCCGTAGGTGTAGTTTCGCTTGCCGTGGACGGGGTCGGGCGCGCGGTAGCAGTCGGCGAGGAGGCTGGAGCAGAACCAGGTGATGGCGGAGAAGGCCAGCAGCACCACGGGGCCGATCACCCACCCCAGCTGCGAGATCGCCCACGCCAGCGACAGCACCCCCGACCCGATCACCGCCGTGATGATGTGCGCGCTCGCCGTCACCAGCGTCCCTGCATGCATGTCCGTCGTCCATCGCCGCCGGAGCAGCACGCACGCACGCACGTCGGTCATGCTCATGTCCAAGTCCAACCATACGCATGCAGAGCATGCACAGACACAACGGCTAGCTTACGTACCCGTGCGCCTCTCGCGCCCGTCGTCGTCCAGCAGCTCCGCCTGGTCGCCGAAGCCGGCCTCCGCGAGGTTGAAGGCAGCCACCTTCCCCGCCGCCGCCGCCTGCTGCTGCTGCCTCTCCGACACCATTGCGCGCGAGCGTGCTCACCGGCTCCGGCCTGCTGGCAACTACCTCTAGCTGCTACGTGTGCCTGTGTGTGGGAGAAAGAGAGAGGAACACAGGGAGGGATCGGAGACGGTGGTGGGCGGTGGCGAAGGGACGAGGAGCGGGGGGTCTCCTTTTGTAAGCGTCCGGCTCCGGGGGTTGGTGCGCGGCTTGCCTTCCTGCAGACGATCGAGCGGTTGGGATTCCATGCGGGGAAAGCGAGCACTGTGCCACCTTCTGTGTGTCGGCTTGCTCCTCTCTCTAGTCTCCTCTCACTCACTGCTCTTGATTCCTGTCCCTAGCTAGCACACTGCACACTCAGACACTCTTGCTGCACACTACAGTGAGAGAGGGAGATTATGTTTAAATTAGTGTGGCAGCAGATAGATTAGTAAGGGGAATTGCTAGATTGGAACACTCCCACCATGTTTGTGGCAGCAGATAGATTAGTAAGGGGAATTGCTAGATTGGAACACTCCCACCATGTTAGTTCGATCGTTTCTTATAAGTCGATTGCTGTTATTTTGGTGTGAGTGAAAAATATGATCAGAGAACAGGGCGGGACCATCTGCCGTCCATTCTTTATGCTCGTAGACTATATACTATGGGCTTGCATGCATGCATATTGCACATAGGATCAAGAATCTGCTGGACAGTAGCAGCTAGCCAATTATTGAGGGCTCTGCAGCATGCACAGCAGGCTCATCTATGCTGATCTTCGTTATCATCCCATAGTTGATGCTCTTTTATTATAAGAGAAAAATACTATATCATGACTGATAAATACGGATACGAACAGCACGGGACTATCTGCCGTCCATTCTTGATGCTTGCAGTCTATATACTATGGGCTTGCATGCATGCACTTTGCACATAGGATCAAGAATCTGCTGGACAATAGCAGCTAGCCAATTATTGAGGGCTCTGCAGCATTCACAGCAGGCTCATCCTCATCTATGCTGATCTTCGTTATCATCCCAGCAGCCAGCAGGGCAGGGACTCAGGGTATTATCGTTCAACATATCAACAAGCATTTCTGCTACTGGTGTGTTGTGTCAGCGTGTGTGCATGCATGCATGGTCTGTCTTGGGCGTGTCCGCTGCAAGGGGCACACGGCACACGGGTCTTAAAACTATATGCCAAGTAATGATTAACAATAATCACTACGGGAGAGGCAAAATTCCCCGAGTGTCGCTGGCTTCCCCGAGTGCCAAAAATCGGGCACTCGGGAAAGAGAATCTTCCCCGAGTGTTGCACTCGGGGAAGAATTGCACTCGGGGAAGAGAGGCTTTCCCGAGTGCCGCAGAGATCCTGGCACTCGGTAAAGAGCAGCACTCGGCAAAGGCCCTCTTCCCCGAGTGCAACACTCGGGGAAGATCGGCACTCGGCAAAGAAACATGTTACTTGACGGTCCACCCCGCCCACGCCGTTAAAACTTTTTAAAAAAAATCTTCCCCGAGTGCCTTCCCTGGCACTCGAGGAAGAGGCCCTTTCCCGAGTGTCAGAACATGGCACTAGGGGAAGAGGCTGCCTTCCCCGAGTGCCCTGTCCTGGCACTCGGGGAAGAATTTTTGTGTTTTTTGTTTTTTTTTTGCCTCATTTTTTTTTGAGGCCTTCCCACATTATTTAAAACTCTGTTCAAATTTGGGACAATTTTGACTTTTTTTGTTATATTTCGTTGAATTTTTTTGCATACTTCGAATTTGAACTGCAGGTGCATGAAATAATGAAATTTGGGGATTCAAAAAATTATATTAATGATATTTCGTGTATGTTGAGGCCTTATCCAGGAACTCGCATGAAATGTCGAGCATCTTGTTGACGTAACATGACGAATAACTTGCGGGAAAAGTGTTTTTAAATTATATAAAATCCGAACGAAGTCCGAAAATCACAAAACTTGTCTGGACGTCGTGTTATCGCATGTAGAGGCTATGATAAAAAAATCGAGAAGGTTTCGAGCAAGTTGCGACGTCGGATGCCTAAAACCCAGACATCTGCCTGGCCTTTTCTTGCTTTTGATAATAACCTGACCGGCCATATCTATATTATTTGGCCCTTTCAGAAACTGAAGCTCAGCTCAAAAAAACTCACTCTGTTTCCCTCTCATTGATCTTGAAAGTGGCGATAAATGGATCGTGATGATGTGGCTGGCTTTTATTAGTGGAGGTTAATTGCAAACATATATTCCTGACCTCGATCTGGGACTTCTAATTAACCCAGTACAGTACGCAGCGGGATCTGTTCTTTTCATCTTTGGTATTAATATGTTTCTTGATTCAAATGGGCAGGGCCTACCTAAACCTTGGATCTGGTGGTATTAATATTAACTCCTTGAACGATCCTTGACATTGGAGCATGTACAGATCAGCGAGCAGTAGAGTATAAAGGTACTTCCATTGGCACACTACTACCACATGCCATGCATGTTGTGCATGCTCTCTATTAATTTGTCAAGTTAGCACGACATATAGCTTGTATAGACAGCGAATCGATCGATGTTTACTTGCAGGTGTCCGAACTCCTGAGTTGACCCGGCCCGGTTGATGAATGGCAGGTGATTCAGCTAATTAATTCATTGTGATATGTGAAGAAAATAAAGCCAAATCAACTCCTCCGCTGAGGGTGGAGCTGAGGCCACCGACTGGCCAAATCTGGTCCGCTTCAGCTCAGCTCTGCTCTCGATCCCGGGGCTTCCTTTCTTGGCATACGGTCCGTCCACCGACAACAACCACATAGGCGTCGGTCCTGCCTGGTGTGTGTGCTCAGCTCAGCTCGATAGATAAGGTAGCAGCGACCAAATTTGCTAATAATAGCATTGTAATTAATTTTTGGGATTGTGTGACCATGATCAAATTACAACTGCGTGATGGAATCCGTGTGCTTAATTCTATCTCGGTCTATGCAACAGGGTGTGTGCTCGTGCTTAATTACTCGATCTAGCTTCTATTTGTACTCGCAAGTCAGGTTTTCCAAGTCTTCTATGTGCGTGACACTAGAAACAAGAGACGACGAGTGGTTCTCCCAGGAAGAAGCGGGTTGTCGAAGTTGAAAATCAAGTGGAGGAGGAAGAGTTCAATTATCAATCTAATGAAATCCTCCTTTCGATACTTCCATCCTCCCTAAGATTTCGGCGAGACGAACTAACACCATACCTAAGAGATGGTCATAAGGAGGATGGCCCCATGGCAAAAAAGACGGACAAAATGGTTGGACGCGGATCGGCGTATATGCACCAAGAGAAAAGCGAGCACCGTGATGATGATGCCAGTGTACCTCACCATCAAGGCAGCGCCAGCCTCAGCAAATACAAAAAGGCATATGTAAGTCTCCACCATTTGTCTAATCTAGCCGCGCCCAATTCTGCATGATTCCTAACCACATGTTGTTGTCTTTCTCGCAGGAGGCGGCGCACACGGCCAGCAACCAATTGGCCAACTCACGGCGTATGCTCTCGGCCCACATGGGCCCCAAAAATCCAACATTGAGTACAATCCAGATCACGGGCCCAGGGCGTACACCAACTCCAACGTCCACACCGCCTCAGTTCGTACACGGAGGCGTCAAGGTTAGTCCACGGGCCGGACTACGATCCGAGGACCGAGGAGCGCCTTGATCCTGAGCGAGTGATGAGGATTGGGCAAGGCAAGAAGCATGGGCGGTTCTACATTGGCGATGACATCCTCGACACGAGCTCTACTCCTCCTCTCAACCGCCTATGAGCTACAGTGGCCATGGGTGTGAACCTATTGTAACATATCGGGTGTTATGCTCGTGTTGATTGTGGTATTTAAAAATCGACAATACATTCATAATTTATCTGCTTTTGTCAAGGGCATCTATTGCATGAGACAATGAACCCTACTTTATAAATGTTTTTATTTTGAAGATCGAACTTTAACCAGGTTCACCAAAACAACTTTCAAAAATAATTAAAATGTATACATGTGAAAAATTTTATATAACTTATATGTGTGTATATATATGTGGGCCTAGTTTACAATGAGCCCTGGTTTAAATGTATGCACATTTAATCTTGACAATCTAGCTATATATGTATATATAATGTGTGTGTGGGCTCGTGTATTTTTGTATTTTGTTTTTGAGCTTTTCTCTAAAAAAGGAGAGAGAAAGAGAAGAATTTCCAAAAGAAAACAAAAAAAAGAAAAGGAAAAGGAAAAAAAAAACATACCCCCACGACTCACCACGCACGGCCCATCCCACGAGTCCACACACGAGTACACGACCCAGCAAACCACTCCTCCAGAACTCCATCGCTGCTTTCCGTCCTCCCTTTCCTCCGGCCGCCACGAAAGAATAGATCGAGAGCTAGGGTTAGGGCCGGCCGGCGCGCCGCTTGTCGGTCGTGAGGCCTCGCACCGCCCCACCCCAGGCCGCTCACCGTCCATCGCCAGGCTGCTCGGATCCGCGCTCGACGCGCTGCCCCAGGCCGCCCGGAGCCGGACCTCGCCTGGCTGCCCGGTGTCACGCTCGCCGCCCCAGCCCCGGCCACGCGGCGGCGGCGCTCGTGACGCCACGCGGAGCCGCGCTCGCTGCCCCACCCCAGGCCGTGCGGCGTTCCCCTCGCCGGATCTCAGTGCTGCTCGCCGAGAGTTGCAGGTACTTCTCTCATCCCCTTCGGATTCGTAATTCAACTAGAAAGACAGCGCGACTCCGTCTTCTTAGATGTTCATCATCTGCGAGTGCAAGAGGTAATAAATTATGGTCATCTACGAGTGCGAGAGGTCCTCCGTCTTCTTAGATGTTCACTCCTCTGCCTCCTGAACTGGGAACCAGCAAGTCCTCCCTTGCGTTATATCAATCTTGTACATCTATTTGAAATGTTTGAATCATCTTAGAAATTGCAGTGATGAGAATATTAGTTGATGATAGCATATCTTGGACATTTTAGAACTAGTAAGTTCTTTTTGCGCTGTTCTCAGTTAATTAAAAGTTATCTACTTGTCACTAGGCCACTGAGGAA